TTTTATATTTTTAAAAAATATTACAATATATATTAAATAAGAAGAATTATTTATGTATTGATTAGTTCACACGATAAATATAAAATTTTATTAATTAATTATTACAACTTTATTTTATTGAAAAAAATACTAACTACTAAAGTTGTACCAAAGGAGTCTAAAGTAAAAAAAGTAAAAATTAAAATATTTTGATATTTTACTTTTTATAAAATTGTTTAAATACTCTTAAAAAATCTTTTTTTAAGTGTTTCATTCATTAAAAAGTACTTAAAGTTTTATATTATCATTAATGATATTTTAATTGTCAAAAAAATGATTAATTTTCCATAATCCCTATATAGTAATCAAGGTTGAACAAGGAACAAAAACTTATTTGAGTCATAATCAGAACTACGATTATACCTAAAGGTAATTAACTTGAGTATTTCATATTAAAAATTCAGATACTAAAGAACAAGATACCTTCACATATAGTCGCTTTCTAGAGCATGTGATTTTTGAGCTAATAAGTTAAACATGTGTTTGTCCCATTGTATGGAGTTTCTTTCTCTATTCCAATGTGGTGAAACTGTTTGTTGCGTGATAAGTAAAAAGAAGATCCAAAATCCTGAACAACTAGTTTCACACATGATATATAACATGATCATTCATTCATGAAGACACTTATATATCAAAATAACTAGTAGCAACCCTAACCGTACTACATTACCGGAAACTTGTGTACTAGGATTAGGTTTGTTTACAGATGAAGAGAGGTGTCAACATCGTCACAGTCCGAACACCCCTCCAATTGGACCGACGAAACTTTGGAAGTTGACGATGTTTTAGCGGGCAAAAAACTCATCAAAACTGGAGTTTTCTTACTCTCCATGGATGTCTGCCTGCTCTGTGAATCAGACCAGAGGGACAGAGGTGCAGATGGTGGCTTTGGTGGAAGGAAATGGAAGAAAACCCCCGCCGCCATTGGCTCATAATCCTTGGTGGTGTGATCATGTGGTTTAGGCTCTGGAAGCTTCCTCATCAAGAGCTCTTTCTCTTCCCTCATCTTCTTCACCCTTTGAAGCTGTCTGAATCTTTCTTGCAATAAAGCAATGGAGGATTGAAAGGCAATAGGATCGCTACTTTCGCTACCCATTTTGAAAAGGCACAGTGCGGAGCCACGTTAAATCTCTTGTGTTTCTCTACTTGTCGTATGGAGCCTAATGGAGGATGCAAAATAAATTAAGGTGATGGACTGATGAAAAAATAAGCTCTCTGAGGTCTATAGATATAGGACGGAATGTTGGGGGGTTTGTGTTAAAGTAAGGTATTTAGTGCATCGATGAAATTCTAAATGATTTAGAAAGGGAATGAGAATCGGCAGGGTACCTGCAAGGTCCAAAAAGAAAAGGTTGTGAGGCCAATCTAATAGAGTACTTTGGTTAGTGTATTTGAAGGAAGGGGCAAAAGGCAGAAAAGGGTAAGAAGAAGAGTCCAAAAGAATGTTGAAAGTAGCACATGGAAGGGTATGCTTGGAGGAATAATAGAATGCGGGATACTCTGGCTTTCTGCCCCCAAAACCCCTTTAAAGCTTTGGAGATGATGGAGCCCTCGTTATTGTTATTTTTTTTTCACTTGGTTTTGGGACTTTAGGGGAGGGTAAAAGACAAGGGTTAGAGTAGGAAGGGATAATCTTAGGACCTCATAGGGGCTTGATTGAACAATAATGTATGACAAAGACAGACATACAAACATTCTCTCACAAAATGTGTTTTGTCTTGGAGTTTTTGGAGGGGAATGGCATGCACAAATGAAAGCTGCAGATGCTTGATTGGATGCTTCTTTAATGTAACACAAAACCACCCCTTAAGTCCCCTCATTCTCTCTATTATTTGTTTTTTATCTTCGAGGCTTTGGAAGATAAGGTAATAAGTAATTACGGGGTTTGTGACAAAGCGTGCCATTTGCACCTACCTTGCCATCATCAATTAAACTAATAAGCACACTCTTAGTGCCATCTATATGTTTTATTTGTTAAAGCGAAAGCTTTTACCCCCCCGTTCTTAACCTTGAGACCTGTAAAAGAAAGAGAAGCTCTATTGTACTCCAACTACTACCTTTCAATATTGACGAGAAAAAATTGATCATATGCATGTATGTTTGAATTTGATATGATAGCCCAAGTGCTCTTTACGAAAGATTAAGGGTAAAAGGCAATAAGTTAGAAATTTGACGAAGAAAACTCTCAAAAGCCTTCATTGAATTTAGGCTTTTTCTTTTGTGTCATTTTTCTCTTCTTCTTCTTGATAGTGATTGGTAAAATGTAGCCTGACTAGCTTTTTATCGGTACCCTGCATGCACATAGAAATTGGAAAATTGATAGCTATGGACTATGGGATGAACTCTGTAGCCGTTCACGATTCATCTTCTCTTTTTCATCGTTGGCTTCATTCAGAAATTGGCTGAACTTGCGTGGAATGTTGCTAGAATTTAGCAATTAAGATTTTGGACCTCAGTGAAAATGATTATTCATTAGGGCGGCTGAACCAATGGGTACCCAAAAAAAAAAAAAATGCTTACAAAAAGGTATTATTTTTCTTTACAGTAGAGAATTTTTTTTTTTTGGCCAATATTTACAAAAGGCAGAGCATCAAGCTTTTTTTTTTTTTTTTTAACATCAAAAACTAGGTAAGAACTACAGGCGCATAGAGCATCTAACTTCCAGATCAAGGGATTTCGAGAGATTATCTTCTTGTATTTTCTCTGAGACCAAACTTTAAGTTATATTTGATTTGAGAGAAATGTAGGGAGGAAAAAATGGAAGGATGCCTTCATTCTCCTTTTCTCATTTTGATAATTAAAGAAATATTTAAAAATAAAAATTAAAGTAAAAGACATCCTTCTCTTCTCCTTCTTTCTAACTTTTTTTTTTATAACTAAATATAGATTTTGTTCCCCCTCCCCTCATATTTGTACTGCCAGCTTGATGCTAACCAAGCTGAATCAAAGAAGCCCAAGTTGAAGGTCAATCTGAACTCTCCACTTTAGACTAATGACCAGTACATAAGGTTAACTCTAATGACAAAGTTAAATGCCTTTACATGAACCTTCATAGATATGCATCACACCCAAAATGCTCACCCAAAATGCTCATACATGGTCACTATAGTTTTGCCATGTGGACATCACTTTTTTGAGCTAATAAATACCTCACAACCACCACCTTCAAGGTGGATTTATTACCTCTATTTCTCTCTCTGCATATTTCTCTTTAGTAGACCTGACAAAAATTCACTCCACCCGTCAACCTAACCTTAATCCAATCAATAAAAAATGGGTTAGGGTCTATATATCTCAATATGTAACCCGTAAATAATTCATATTATCAATCCATACGAGTCACGGGTCAAATTGTAATTAACCCACGAGTTGATGGGTTGACCCATTAGTTTTATTTATTATTATTATTTTTAAATATTATACTTTTTATCCTTAATTAATTTTTTTATTAGTAACTCATTCCATTAATTCATACTTCTTAATTTCTATAGAAAGAATAAGAAATTATGATAAGTTTAATTTAATTATCCTAGTATCATTTTTTTTTTTTTTTGTATTAGCAATTACCTAAGTATCATGAATGAAATGATAATGCAACTAAAAATATTAAAAGATGTGATGTTAGGAATTTAGGATATAAACATAATAACTTAGTGAAAGATGTTTTTGGAAGAGCAATTTCATCATTAAAAAAATTGATTAAACTACTTGATAATGTTTCAAGATAATTATAAAATTAAAACTTTATTTTTCAAGAAATTTAAATATTTTACGTTTAATATTTTTATTGTTAATCAATTTATTATTATTTATAACTTTTTTATTTTTTTTCTTGATTTAAATGTTTGTGATTGAAACTATAAAGTATTTAGTGTTAATAAATCACAATATTTTAATTAAATTTAGATATATATAATTTTATTTATATATAATAAAATTAAGAAAAAATAATTATAAAAAATAAAAATAAAGTTAACCCGTGGGTTAACCCTTAACCTGTTAAGGTCGGGTTAGGGTTAGACTTTTTCAACTCGTAATCCGTTTATAATCCAACCCGTATAACTCGTCACCCGAGTTAATCCGACCCGAACCCAACCTGACCCGCCCGTTTGCCAAGTCTACTCTTTATGATAAACTAGGTAATACTAACTTGAACGTTGGAGTATTTGCTCCAAGATCCACTCTTGGGTCTATTTTGCACAATATGCCAGGTAAACTAAAGAACTCAAGTTTGAACTGAACATCATAAAGCCCAAAGTAATTAGATGTGAGGTCAAGAGAATTAAAGTAAACATAGAGTTAATTCATGCAATTACAAGTAAAACTTGCTTGTCAATTACAATTTTGCCAATACAATTTTATTTTTTTCACAATGAGTGTATATTTTATAATTAATTTTTTTTATTTAGAAGTAGGTCATATTATATAATTATTATACAAAAATTATTATACTTGTAACACTAATGCTAATTATAAAACTTGAATTTGTGGTCAACTAGTACCTTAATTTTATATATTTTTTAATAAATGTAATAATATATTATAGAAACAAATGAAACTAAACAATTTTTTTTTTTTGGTTTAAAGTTACAAAATTTATGAAAACCACCTCTACAAAACGAAGTTTAAGAAAAAAAAACCTTACCAAAAAATTCAAAGCCCACAAAAAGAGTAGTGATACAACAGTGAATGCCCATGCCCAAAGACAACGCCCCAAAACCAAAAAAAGAAAAAACAGCCCAAAATCGTATGCCCCAACAACAGAGGAGCCGATCTCCAGCATCCCAAGTTTGCCCTCAAATCCACCAAGAGCCATTGAACTGCATCAGCAAGGGGAAGAACTGAGCCAGAGACCGTGAGGGAGTTACAGTGATCGGCGGCAGCGCTTGTCGGAACGGAAGATGAACACTGACATTACAGCATCGGTGAAGCCAGAGTACCCAGTGATAGATCGGAACCCACCCTTCACCAAAGTGGTCGGTAACTTCAACACTCTCGATTACCTCCGTTTCGTCACCCTCACCGGCGTCTCCGTCACCGTCGGCTACCTCTCTGGTATTCTCTCGTTCTACAGAACCTGTAAATTTATCAAATTGAAATGGGGTTTTTGTTTTTTGTTCCTCCCTTTCTGATCGATATATATCAATCTAGGGATCAAGCCTGGATTAAAAGGGCCATCAATGGTGACTGGAGGGCTGATAGGATTAATGGGAGGTTTCATGTATGCTTACCAGAACTCAGCGGGTCGACTCATGGGGTTTTTCCCTAATGAAGATGAGGTTGCTCGTTACCAGAAACGTGAGTTTTAACAACTAGGTTTCTTTTTCCATTTCTGCCTTTAAAAATGCTAGCTTTAAGACTTTTCAGTGATGGATGATGTCAATAAATCGAATTGGCAATTGCACTTTGTTCTCTGAACTTCAATTGCTTGTACCGTTAAAAGGTTTTTCCTTTGGCCTGTTGTATCCAAATACAATGCTGTGTTTGGTATTGATGAATTGTTAGTTCTCTGAGACAATCAAAATTTTTCTATGAGAACTGTGATTGATGTGTAGAAAAATTTGTATGTTGGCACGGCGCTGATTTTGTAACTGGCCAATGCACACCGAGTACTATGATAGCTTTCTCTCAGGAAGTGATTGTAAATTCTATGATGCATGTTTTGGGTGAAATAGAAACTACAATAGACATGGGTGTTTCTTGGTAGTGTTCGCTGTCGCTGCACGGAGTTTGTTCAAAGTTGTAGGCTATGTTTTCAATGGCATTTAGGATTCCAAAGTTGTTGGATTTGTGTAAAGCATTCTTGTCTCCATGCGCTTGCTCAATAACTTGTCATTGCTATTTGTACTTGCATTTACGAAGTGCAAGGTTTGGGAAGAAAATAATGAATCTTAAGTTGCATCCTTGATATTCTTAGTATTTTTTTTTTTTGGTGCTAACCCCCTAATATCCGGAGACTACATTGGGCTCGACTAATCCGGAGTCAAACTGGGTCAGACCCCATAAGGGGGAAGGTTTCCCAGTGCTTGTTTCTCCATTCACTAGACTCAAATTCGAGACCTTACTTAAGGGGAACCAAGCTCCTTCTACTTGAATTAATGAGTTGTTGGTTGATATTCTAAGTATTAGTTTTTTTTCTTTTGATGCGATTGATATGCTTGACAATCAGTTTTTATAACAGAGTTGATACACTCGCAATGATGTCTTATAATGACAACATGGCATCAAATGAATAACTGCTTGATTCACACATTCCACTGAATAAAAAGTGTCAATCATGATTGTTAATACATAGGATTGTGAGGTTTTACTGTGAGATCACATTGTGAGTGAATTATTTTTCTTTTTATAAAGCATGATATAAATCATTGATATAGGTTACATGCATCTGGATACTATAAAGAGACAAATTTCACTTCTTAGGCAAACAGGTTCAGAATGATGCTTTTTGTATTGTATTGTGTTGTGCCTTTTCAGAACCTTTATGACTATGTTTGGGATGTCTACATGACAAGTTGTCTTGATCATGCCTCATGTTAAACCTAGGATGGACTCATCTTTAGTGTTTGTATCAATGTAAAATTCCCTACATGTCAAAGAGGGATTTATCGGTTAGAAATGTTTGGTTCTCCAGAACATTTTTACTTTTTTTTGATGACTTAATAGAAACATGTCTCCTTGTTTGTCTACCATGTTTAGCATCTTTGGCGAGGCCAGTAGTTATCATGGTATGCTTGAGGGAACAGCGTACATTTCGTGGAACAGTATTGTCTGGATGTTGATTATGGATCCAAAATTGGACTTTTTGCCAATATCCATCCTATTTAATCCTGTCACTTTTAGTTGAACAGCCCTTCATACATTAATTCACATCGAGCATGCATGTTCATGATTTTCCTAGAAGATGAAAGCTAGAGCAGAAATGAATATTAAAGATATCTATTTCCTTTTTGTCATGCCATCAAAATATTAAAGATATGTGTTAGAATGGCAAAACTCTGTAAGAAGAGCTGGGTCTTCTTTCCTTTTCTTCTTCTTTTTTTTTTTTTTCTCAATTTGCGCGTTAGAAACTAGACTATGGTTCTTCTGGTGATTATCAATCTCAATGAAGTGTTGGAACACTCGGGCGCCAGGTAGGCTCTAGGCAGTGGGTTTGGGTGTGTGCCAGCTTAATTGTGTCCAATGGTGCCCAGGGGATTGGGCCTAAATGACTCCAAAAAAAAGCTGAACAACTTACTATGTAAAAAATCATTAAAAAAAAAAAAGAAAAAAAAAAACAAACAAAGACGTATCATGCATTGCGTGACTTAGTTAATGTTATTAATGTAAAACATTATAACTATATTATTGAACATAAAGTTGCAACTAGCACTTTTTCACTACGTTGCTATGAACTAAAGTTGAACTTTTGCAAGTGGTTTTGGACGATTTTTTTCATTGTGTTCATCTTGGTTGTCACTTTCTATGTCCTCCACTACGTCTTCATGACTAACCATGGACTTTAGAGTAGGGATCAAGAAACTTGGTTAAGAGATTTCCTCAAAACTCTTTGGTCAATGGTCGTGGTCTAAATAAGGCCCCCCAAGTGGTCGGATAGAGAGGTGCCGTCCAGTCTAAGATGATTCAAAAGTTCAACCCCAAAATTTCGTTCAAATTTCTTTTGGTGGGATAGTTGTAAAATAAGATAAGAGAAGCGTCTTCAAACTTTATCATGGTGACATCACGTCAACAATTCAACGCCCCATTATTAGTGGAGATGCCTAAGTATTGTTCATTTCCATGGTAATGGAGTCTAATCGATTACTTTAACTTTGTTTATGTGTTAAATTAAATTTTATGAATTTTTAAAATGTATTTGATTTGAATAATTTTTATTTATTTATATTCTTTTTAAAAATAAATAATTAAAATATTTTAAAAAAATCAATTTATGAGTTGATTTAAAAAGAAATTATGAATTGTATCAATTAATTGAAACTCTAGTAGGATGGAGGGGTAGGGAGAGGAAATGCATAGGAGTGAGTAAGTTCTTTTTTATTAATGGTTTGACTAATTACTTACAGTAATAGTAATTTATTTTAAGTTATTAAATAATAAATATTAATTATATTATTAATTATTAACTAATAATTATAATTAACAATTAAGTTGTCATAACAATCACATTAAACATAGCGCTATAAATTATCACAAAATTATAGTCCCAATATTATTATTATAATCCTAATATTTTGGACAAAATCTTAAAAAGCAAGCAAGTGATCTCATCCCACCCCTCACAAACCCCACAGTTTATATCTATGAAGCCTTTACCGTTATGCCTTTATTCTTAGAGTTTGTTTATTTATAAGTTAGAGTGTAATAAATGTATTGTTTTATAATTAATTTATATTAAAAAATAAAAATTAATTTTAATTTTAATTTTATTATCACATGAAAATTTTTAATTAATTAATATTTAATTAGATCAAAATTAATGTTTATATATTTTTTAATATAATTTAATTATAAAAAGTGCAATAAATACACCAAAAATCGTTATTCTCATGGCAGATTACATTATTCCACACACCTCCATCCACTAAAGGCCAAAGTGAGAGCGATCCTTTTGCTTGGAGACAATTATAGTTCTTCCAAATGGGTCCCTTCCTATACGAAACACATCAAAATTAATCTTCTTTTTTCTTTTTTTTTGGTACACATCAAAATCAGTCTTTAATTACAACGGAAATCGTCGATTTGCTTGTTTTTAATTAATTGTTAATCAGACTTCCATCCCCCTGTGTTGATTTAGTGTGCCCCCTAAATGACGAAGATATGAGCTGTGCAGGTCCCATGCTCCTGACGCACCTTCCCCCCTTTTCCATGTTACATTACCCCAACAAAAACCATGGTCGGTGCAATATCTCCTTTGATTCCATATAACTTTAGCATAATTCGATCTATATAGCCATATGTATGATTTCATTTGTGACTTTAGATTCATTTCCTAATCTGCAGTTTTGATATTCTTCGGTACCATTTATTCTGCCAATGTTGCTCATATTTTTCAATTTCATTTCCTTCTTCTTCAACCAAAATTCGATTCCATTGCCGACGAGTTAATAATAACCTTCCAAACACAAAGTTGAAAGCATACCCAAAAAAAAAAAAAAAAAACAAAGAGAGAGAGAGAATAATACATTGGAGATTTATTTTAAAAAAAGTGTTGTACAATCTAAATTATATCAAATTACATAATATTAATCATTGAATGAGATTTTAACTCCTTAAAATTAGAGTATTTTTCCTATTAATAATTTTTATTTTACAATTTGATACAATCCGGATTACAAAACAAAAGTCTCTACCTTAAAATCAACTACCCAATTTCTTTTTTCAAAAAAAAAAAAAATTAAGAGCTCAACTACCCAATTATTTTTAAGAAATGGCTACCTAATTAAAGAATGAAACTTGGCTTCATTGACTTGAATACTTATTGGAGCAATGTTATCACAAACAGGCCAGTAATATGCTGTCTGCAAATATAGAGATTGATGTAATCTAATCTCTCAATCACTTGGTGGGGGTTCACTTTTATGTCATGCTGAGGCTTTCTAGATGAGAATGCGGGGCTTCAATTTGGCCTTTGTTTAAAGCAAAACTATGAAAAGGAACCATTCGGATCTTCCTTTTCTTAGTTCTTTATAATCAAATCTTTCATCTAGCAAAACCCATGATCATGCCTACATTTGAAGTATAAAAGCACATAATAAATTTCAAAGTGTGATTAGTTGCATATCTAGCAAGTTTTAGGGTTGTCTTAATGTATCCAAAAACAGTGCTTGGGAAGGGCTTTACATACAGTTTTATACTATAATGTAACTTTGTGATTTAATATGACAAACATTATGAGTGATTAATTTTATTCAACTAATATTTTGTTTTCATATATAATCATTTATTTAATGTTATGTGACCTTTTTTAAACACATTTTAAAAATTCCATTGTGTATGTTCTATGCTATTTAATTGTCACAAATTAAAAGAAAAAATATTAATATTTGACCCCACAGGAGAGCTGAATTAGTAAGGTGCTAATTTCTTATTAACACAAAACAACGAGAGTGTGAGTTCATTAAAGCAATGAAAATGGTTTTCTCGTTATAGAAAAATGTTTTTTTTATTTGAAATATATATAGCTTATCAAACCTACCCAATGCCATCCCCTAATCAGATTCATTCCTTTTGCTATATATCATCTCTTTTTATCTTTTCCTTCTTCTTTTCGGCTCACTCAGCATATTTTTTTTCTTTTATGATCATTGGCCCACTTGGTAGTGTCTCCTTAAATCAGATGATATAGCATTATTTTCGTATTATATTTGAATACATATATGGAAATTAATTAGTAGTTTATAAAAACAAAAAGAAAAAGTTTTTAAAATTAGATTGTACATTAAAAATTTATTTTCTTTGTATGAAAATAATAATTATTTTTAATTTTTAATTTGTCACAAATTAATTATTATTACTTTATTAACATAAATAAATAATTTTTTCATACTTTACTTTTATCATTATTTATTTTTTATTTACCGTCCTATTACAAAAAAAAATCTATTTTTATCTTTTATTTATTTTTTAAGAAAAATATGGATAAAAATATAAATTGTTCTCAAACCTTAATTTAAGAAAAAAATAAAAAAGAAATAATTATTTT